GGGAACATTTGAAGATTTTGCTCCAATTTTTCCTTGGCCGATCTTTGAAAACAAACATGAATTCAAGGACTTACGGAAAAATAACAAACATGATTAAATATTTTAAGTTGTATTTAGTGTTACCGCAAGTGCTAGTCGTGTTGGTGCTAATAAGTCGCACATTACGTGACAAAAAAAAAATCAACAGATGCCAACAACATAAAGTTGTTATTCAAGAGAACTCTGTACCTTTTGCGGACCAAACTTTTTTGAATTTGATATAACAAAAAATACACTCTATTCTTTAGGTCATATATTGCGGTTCACAAGTTTGTTAAGATGAACAAAAAGTAGAGTAAATTTAATTTTATTATTGTGACGAATAACTACCTCACAAAACTAAAGATTCTATTAGTCTTTCCACAGTGCACTAAATAAAGGACAGCTCTCCCACTTGCGAGGGAGTGCTTACACATCTCAAAATATAAATCTGCGTTAAATTCAGTGATATATTCTTAACAAGTTTTAGACGTGTATGGATCTTTGTCACACTGCATAGGTGAGACAAGATTATAATTCTTCATTTTTTCACAATACCTCATTGTAGCATGTACTCGAATGAAATACTATCAGGCCGGTCTCCTTCCTAAACTTTTCAATCACCATTGCTGTATAAAACAATAGAAGTATTACTGATCTCATTAAACTTTTTCTTTTGGATTTTTGCAATTTCTATTTAAGAAAACACAAGTACCTTCAGTGCCTATCGTCCCAGAAAAANGAACATTTCAGTCTTTTAGTCGTTAAATTTGGTTAAAAGCATGATTTGTTGTGAATTTTCAAATGTAATAAATTTCCTCTGAAAACTGTCAAAATCCAAAAAGTCGCGGATCCTTCTTTGGGCCTGGAGCGAGTCTATTGTGACGTCTACAAAGGAAGCGAGGTCACAGCGTCTACTTGTATACACACTGAATTTTATAGCGATTACAGGTATTCTTTATAGTTTATAGTCTTTTATATWGTCAATTTTACTCAATATGCCWAATCGGTGTGTTGTGTATGGATGTGACAGTACTCCTAACCCCAAAGAAGGAGTATTTTTATTCGGTATTCCGTTTTTCGGCGATGAAAGGCCTGAAGCCAARCGACGACGAAAAGCGTGGGTGAAGTTCGTCGATATAAAGAGAAAGAATTTCACTCCAAGCAAAGGCTCCTCGATCTGTTCGAAGCACTTCGTACCAGATGACTTTACGATAAGGTTTACTMTTTTGCCTGGTCATGAGAAGCCAATGATACCAAGGTTAAAAAGAGATGAAGTTGGAATTTGTSTGTTTCCAACATTGCAAAGTGAAACGGGGGAAGTTAAGACAACAATTAGCGATCGTAAAAAGTGTAAGGTGAGCAAAGGCATTTCTTTATTATCTATTACACGAAAAAGAACTTACAATGTTATATAATCAATATACAGATTTTMAAGGAAGCCGAAGAAGAGTTTAGGGAAACCGCTACCCCAGGTCCATCAGGAATAAACACATGTCACGATTGTGGGGATGTCGTGGATGCAAGAAATCCTCTGGTGGAAGAACCTCTGCCGGAAGTACCAGAAGACAATGTTCAGGAAACACCACGACAAGAAGATAATGAAACAATACAAGAGGTGAGTAATAAGAAGTATAGCGGTCCATATATATTGTATTGCTGTAGCCATGAAAAGTCTTAGGGGCTCGAGACGGGCTGTACCGACTTGACAAAAAAAAGACAATCAAGCCATTGTTCTGTTGAAAACCGACTGATGTTCTATAATTTTTACTATTTGTTTTATTAAGAACAAGAAATCTCCCTGTGGTTCTTGCCGAAAGCTTCGAAAGCAACGGGAAACATGGAAGCAGAGATGGAAGAGTGCAAAGGTCGAAGTCAAGAAAAAGATAGATCAAGTGCATCTATTAGAACAGAAAGGTTTGTAACAGAACAAAATAATTCACAATAATGGTGTGACATTAACTTTTAAGTCATACAGTGTTGGTCCTGTAGTTTCCATAATTGTTGGAACNGATTCCCTTTTGGAGGAAACAGTAATGCTCTTGCTCTTCTTGAGTTTGTTGTGGACAACTTGCATGAGCATCGAAAAAATAATTTCTGAATCGAAGCTCTTGAGTGTGAACTAGAAACGTAACATTTGAGTCAATTTTGGTTGATAATTTTTCTTCAATGACTTTACGAGAATTTGGAAATTTCAGTTATTAGCATGTGTAATTTTGTTTCATAGCACGGTCAATCAGTAAGTGAACATAAGCAACCAGACAAACAAAAACGACAAAAAACATGGTTACAAAAAAACATGGTTATTTCTTACCAACAAGTCCTTCCTCGCAGAACTTATCTCTTACTAACTGGGTTGTTTCTAAATATAAAAGAATCGGAACATTTTGGTTTCGATATTAGTTATATACTGTATATCAAGGTCTATCTTRATTTAATCGTCTCACCCGTRATTGTTTGTACTTTAGGGAACTAAGATACCTCAAATTGACAACAAGAAAAAGAGGATAATAAAAATCTGATCTTTCCTTGTTAACTGTACTTATAAAGCTAACATCTTGCTAACTTGTACTGATCAMAAGTTTGAAGCTACAATTGTTATCACTGTCGGACATTGAAGGGGTCGAGTACCCATTGAAGGGGTCGAGTACCCCTCCACCCCCCAGCTCAGCAACTAATATRTCATTCTTACCATCTTCCGATTGACTTTTACTTCGCTGTGACTGTGTKCCTGTAAATATACAAATAATTAGATAAGGAGAAAAATCAATGCATTCACGTGCCCACAATAAAAGTCTTCTTTAAATCTATTGTTATTCAGATAAAATACAATACAATATATATAWATACAATAAAAATAATGTRCWGCCTTTTGCAAAAATTATGAGAATTGTCGAAATATCTAAATATCATAATATYRAGTGCATGATGTGTAATMACGYGCGATGCCCTTACTCCCTTGTCTTTGTAGTTTAGGTTTTTTTTGGCGACAGACTTATCCGTAGTTCTGAACATTTTCTCGATGTCAACAATGAATTATTCTAGCAAACCCGCGTGTTCCGGACAATATATGGATATGGATATTATGATATTTAGATATTTAGACAATTCTCATAATTTTTGCAAAAGGCTGTATATANATCAGACAGAACCAGAGAGCCACTATGACATGTAATTAAAATACATAAAATGCATTTGATCCTAATTAATATGTGCATTACCATATGCATACAAATATAATGTATCATTACCATGTCTATCATCATTCACTGACATGAATAGAATAAAATAATAATATGTATATGACTGCTTGTTACTCAATTGCATATAATTCTCATTGGCATGTATTTTCTTCCTCAGTTTAATGAGTGGGAAAGATCTCAGGACAGAACCGAAACATATTGTTTTTCTATCTCAACTGCAAGAGCTTTTTAAATTCTGCCATTCCTGMAAGGCTGATGGTCCCTTAGTAGAGGCTAGACAAGTTGGAACTGAGGTAGTTGTCACTAGTCTGTGTCAAAACCCTGCTTGCCAAGACAAAGAGAGAATTTGGCATAGTCAACCTACAATGAAGTATGTCTCAGGTCAAAGAGGACCWGCTGGGAATTTCTTGCTTTCTATGGCAATACTGTTTGCAGGTGGTTCTCCTAGTAAGGTCATGCAGATATTTAGTCATATGGGACTGGGCTGTACTTCTCTAAGGACGTTTTTCAATCACCAGAAAGTAAGTAAACTGTCATATTACCTCTTATGTTTATAATCACCATTGTTTGBATTGCTCTTCATCAACCAAGTTAGGCGCACTGACTAATATTAAACATCTGTCCGTCAGCTATGTTGTGTTGCTGCAAACTCATTTTTTTTTTAGTAATGCCTGTGGTTTTGTTGATTGAAAGCAATATTTTGATTGACTTACTTGGGTAATTAATTGAAACACTTGATAGTGGTCATTGTTAGTCAGTGAGCATATGTTAAAAAATTCTATTTATTTACTTCATGTACAGTTTATTGAGACTAGATCCTAGCTTTAAAGAAATACTTACTGACCATTGTATATGCCTCTACAATTTCCTTTAGAACTACCTTTTCCCGATTATTCACCTCCATTGGAAAATGTACCAAGAGAGTCTGCTTCAGAAAGTGAACGATGAGTGTGAAGGGAAGATAACAGTGGCAGGAGATGCTCGCCATGATTCGATGGGGCACAATGCAAAATATGGCGCATACTCAGTATTGTGTTCTGACATAGCCAAGATCATACATTTTTCACTTGTCCAGGTAAGTAAAGTACATATTTCATGTAGACTTAACACTGTTAACATTTATGTGTTTTGAATATTAAAATTTAACGTCAAGGAAGATATTGACGACAAGACAAATTGCTTCAGGTCAAATCTCAGTTTTTGTTTTTGCCTTCTAGAGAAATCAAGCAGATAGCAGTAATGCGATGGAATATGTTGGTTTCAAAAACTGCATGGAATTCCTTTTGGAGGAAAATGGCCTGCCGATTAGTACTTTTGTGTCAGACAGACATACCTCGATTTGTAGCCACATGAAAAAAGAGTTGAAAGATATCAAGCACTACTTTGACCTATGGCACTTGAAAAAGAGTAAGTACATTGTACAGTTATTGTTTGTTGGTTCAGATACATATATGGCATAAACCACAGTTAAAA